TAATAATAATCTTTGGTACCAGTGAAAGGAGTAGTGCCATTTATTGGTATCAGTGGGGGTACTAGTGCCCCATCCCTGATGCCAGTGGAAGGAATAGTGTCCCATCATTGGTGTCAGTGGAAGGAATAGTGCTTCATCCCTGGTGCCAGTGGAAGGAATAGTGTCCCATCATTGGTGTCAGTGGGAGGAATAGTGCCCTATCATTGGAGTCAGTGGAAGGAATAGTGCTTCATCCCTGGTGTCAGTGGAAGGAATAGAGCTCCATCGTTTGTATCAGTGGGGAAAATCATGCCCTGTTATTGGCGTCCATAGGAGGGATAGTGCCCAATTGTTGGTGTCAGTGGAAGGAATAGTGCCCCATCATTCGTTTCAGTTGAAAGGAATAGTGCTCCATCCTGGTGTCAGTGGAAGGAACAGAGCCCAATTATTATTGTCAGTGAGAGGAACAGTGGGAGGAAGAGTGCCTCATCCCTGGTGTCAGTGGGAGGAAGAGTGCCCCATCCTTGGTGTCAATAGGAGGAATAATTCCCCATGGTTGGTGTCCATGGGGGGAATAGTGCCCCATTGTTGGTGTCGGTGGGAGGAAGAGTGTCTCACTGTTGATGTCAGTGGAAGGAATAATGTCCCATCATTGGTGTCAGTAGAAGGAACAGTACCTCATCCTTGGTGTCATTAGAGAAAAGCATGCCCCATTGTTGGGGTCAATGAAAGGCATGCTGCCCCATTATTAATGTCAGTGGAAGGAATAGTACCCTATTGTTGGTGTCAGTGGAAGGAATGATGCCCCATTGTTGGAGTTAGTGGAAGAAATGGTTCCTTAGTACTGGTGTCAGTGGAAGTGATAATTCCTCATTTCAGTGAGAATAGTGCCCCAAAGGGCCTGATAAGGGCAAGCAAGGGCTGCATCTGGCCCGCCAGCTGCAGTCTGGAGATCAATGGTCTATGGGGATGCAAAACCCACTTGAAGCAGGTCAGAAGGACATCAATTGCAGGCCACATGCGCCTGCCAATAAAGTCGGAATTTTCTCAGAAGTGTGTCAAACTAAAGCCATACACACAATCCCAAAGCACTTTGACAAAGGCCCTAAACCACAGTTCATTTCATATATATATATATATATATATATATATATATATATATATATATATCTTACCAGGTATTTCAACAAACGATAAAGAAACACTGTTTACCCCCGTATTGAAAAAAAATAAATCATTCAATTTGGTATTCGTTAATAAAAGTATTTGTTTATAAACTTGTAACAAAAAAAATAAATGATCACAAACAGCATAGTTCTCATTTAGGCAACTTTCTTGTTAAAAAATCAAAAGGGAAGCTCACCGTTAATGCCAGCATCACTTCTCTGTAATTTTTGTTTCCATTCAACCTTTTCTTTAAGGCGCGGATCGCATCTTTTGGCCTAGACACAAAATAAGGTAATTCATTCAGCATTTAAATTTGATTTCCAGCCTTTAACCATAAATCAGTATAACAATAATCACTACTGGGACATGTAACATGTATATTATATAAATATTAAAGCACTTCGGTGCATAGAGATGAATGTCATTTTGTGACAAATAAAGTAAAAAAAAAAAAAAAAAAAAACCCCAGAACAGTACATAGTATGATGCAATGCAGCAGAGCATCACACCACCCCCTCACTGCACCTTCACAATGTACACAAGGGCATACTGCTATAGCGTGTAGGCTGGTGCAAACGAGCCATAAATGAGTGTATGGTTAAACTTTTTCTATTCCTTCCACTGACACCAACAACGGGGAACTATTCCTTCCACTGACACCAACAATGGGGAACTATTCCTTCCACTGACACCAACAACGGGGAACTATTCCTTCCACTGACACAAACAACGGGGCACTATTCCTTCCACTGACACCAACAATGGGGAACTATTCCTTCCACTGACACCAACAACGGGGAACTATTCCTTCCACTGACACCAACAACGGGGAACTATTCCTTCCACTGACACCAACAATGGGGCACTATTCCTTCCACTGACACCAACAACGGGGAACAATTCCTTCCATTGACACCAACGACGGGGAACAATTCCTTCCATTAACACCAACGACGGGGGGAACTATTCCTTCCACTGACACCAACGACGGGGAACTATTCCTTCCACTGACACCAACAATGGGGAACTATTCCTTCCACTGACACCAACAACGGGGAACTATTCCTTCCACTGACACCAACAATGGGGAACTATTCCTTCCATTGACACCAACAATGGGGCACTATTCCTTCCACTGACACCAACGGGGAACTATTCCCCCCATTGACACCAATGATGGGGAACTATTCCTTCCACTGACACCAATGACGGGGAACTATTCCTTCCACTGACACCAATGACGGGGAACTATTCCTTCCACTGACACCAATGACGGGGAACTATTCCTTCCACTGACACCAATGACGGGGAACTATTCCTTCCACTGACACCAACAATGGGGAACTATTCCCCCCACTGATATCAATGACGGGGAACTATTCCTTCCACTGACACCAACGACAGGGAACGATTCCTTCCACTGACACCAACGACAGGGAACTATTCCTTCCACTGACACCAACGACAGGGAACTATTCCTTCCACTGACACCAACGACAGGGAACTATTCCTTCCACTGACACCAACAACGGGGAACTATTCCTTCCACTGACACCAACAACGGGGAACTATTCCTTCCACTGACACCAAAAATGGGGAACTATTCCTTCCGCTGACACCAACAACAGGGAACTATTCCTTCCACTGACACCAACAACGGGGAGCTATAGGTAGTCTCGTAGGATGAATATCCCAAGGGACTCATTCACACCAGTGGATTGTGGTAACCTGTACACAACAGTAATCCGGTAAATGAGGTGCGTTGCTGTACAAACAATGCAGCATGCATTTTTGGTGTGCTGAGGTGCGTTTACAGGCCATTCATTTTGAATGTACAGCATAAAGCCATGAGCTTCAACGTAGAAAAATCATGTGCATTGCAGCGCAGGGCATCGTAATATGAACCGACCCGAAGAACAATGACATCTATAGGGGTGATTAGCAATCTAACAGAAGACAGGACATCCCTGGGTGCTCGGAATAAACACAGTTCTATCTGCACTGACGAAGTATAAAAAAAAGTGACTTTGGCTCTTATGTTTTTGACTGCCCTCCAAACTTCCATCACTGTGCCGTAAGCTGCAGAGAAACCAGAATCTACGAGGCTGACGAAATGTCTCTACTCCCCGGGGTGGAGGCACGGATGTGGCCTATTAATCTATATATAGTGAGATCTGGTCTGGTGAGTCTGGCTCACACAGGAGTGACCATGTCCTCGGCTCGTGTCCCGCTCATTGAAGGACGGGCGAGGTAAGACACGCCGCATCCGTTACAAGACCGGTAGATCTGGAATTGCAAATTAAAGGGTTACTCAAGAAGACAAGTGAAATGCTAATGTCATCCAGGAAACACTGTTCAGTACATTCTCGCATGTGCCCCAGGGTGGAACTACAGTCTCTGGTCCAGGGGCAGACTGATCATTCGGGCACTGCCCAAGGGCCCGGGGTCAGTGGGGGGCCCCATGATCTGCCCCTGGTACCTTTCATAGGCTTTTTTGGGTGTGGTTTGAGTGTTGGTCTGGTAACTTTCATAGGCTTTTTTGGGTGTGGGCGAGGACACAGGGGCCCCATGATCCCCTATTGCCCGGGGGCCCCATGAGTTGTCAGTCCGCCCCTGCTCTGGTCACATGATTCTGTGCTACATTCACCTCCATTTCTGTTTGTCTGAGAGACAGTAAATAGCCTTCAATGGGTGGAGTTGGGGCTACCAGACCCTCCTACTCTCAAGCCTATCAAATTGTTTCTTGAACATCCCAACAATACAGCTGTTTTAAAGCTTAATTCCACCTTGGGGAGTCACAGACAGAAATAAAAACCTGACAAAAATGTAAATCTGAAACGCAAAGAAACATTTTGGCTGGAGTTTGGCTTTAAAGCGATGATATAGTTTGCTATGTAAGAAGACAGCTGCACTCCCAGCTTGATGTGTGAATATCGATGTGAAACGGCCTCAGACAGCTCTCTTACATAAGCCACGCTTCCCCCCCGGACGCGTTTCGCCCCACCTAGGTGGGGCTTAGTCACATAAGGATCTATCAATGCAGGATAAATGAATGCTCAAGCCGACACCCCTATCTCTGAGGATCAGAGGGGTTGGTTTCCTCTTAGCTTTGAGCTGCGGTCCAAGTTTGTGTACAGATTTATTTTGCTACTTGCATTGGGCCAGCTTAGGTCAATAAGCCTAAGCTGGCCCAAGGGATGTTCAAGAACAAATGTAATAGGCTTGATAGTAGGCGGGTCTGGTATCCCCAAGTCCACCCATTGAAAGTTATTTACGGTCTCTCAGACAAACAGAAATAGAGGGGAATGTAGCACAGAATCATGTGAACAGAGACTGCAGTTCCACCCTGGGGCACATACGAGAGCTTACTGAACAGTGTTTCCTGGATGACATTAGCATTTTACTTGTCTTCTTGAGTCCCAATGTGATACCTGATCAGGGTCTCTGGAAGCTGTAAATTACTGTAGTCGCCCGAACTGCTAAATTGATCATTGAGATCTTCCAGGGGCTGTGCCAGGCGGCTGCCTTCCTGCCTAATGACCACAGGGGGTTTGCTCGCTTGGCACTGCAATGCATTGTGACCATCACTGTAGTAGCTTGGCTGCAGCTTCCACAGAGGCCGATCGGCGATCACATACATATACTTGTAAGCCCAATATAAGTATGCAAAATATAGAACTGCTGGAGTTCAGATTTAGAGCCAAACTCCAGCCAGCAATTCTTTGGATAGTTATGAACTCATTCTCCTGGGACATACTACATACAGCCTATGCCTGTGCAAGGGCCATATTTCCCTTTGCAGGCATTCATGCCAATTGGGATGCAGCGGGTGCACAGACACAGACCATGCTCCAGATTTGCCGTCCATGCAGTTGCACAGCCCTGAATGCACACGGCCTGCCTTTGGGGCTATTATTATTATTATACAGTATTTATATAGCTCCAAAGGGTATGCTCAGCGCTGTACAGTAGCAAGGGGGACAGAACATAAGACAAGACAGTAACAATACAATACACGAGGGGTTCGAGGGCCCTGCTCTTTCGAGCTTACAATCTAGGATGCATACACGCAGCCCACAGGTCCACCTGCCCTTGATCTATCCATTAAATACATGTACCTCTACTATGGGGGCTCTCAAAATGTTAGGACTACAGAATATCGGGGTACTGTGACGTGGCTCTGTGGCTTACGTATTTGCAAATGTGTGCTAACTAAACCCATTTTAACGCATACCGTTAGACAGGTTAATTTGGTTGTTGGCAAGCTGGCTGGCAAGTTGACCAGGAACTTTCTTTTCTCTCTTTTTTCTTTTGACATGCGTCGCCTGTTCATTTGTCCTTGCTGCAAAAGCCAGTTATAGACTGGGGCAGTGGCCATTTTTGTACATACTATAGCAGGGGTGGGCAAACTTTTTGACTTGAGGGCCGCAATGGGTTCATATATTGGACCCGGGGGCCGGACCAAGAGTAGATGAATGATGTGTATGTGTCATCCATAGTAAGTATAGTAATATTCCCCCATAGTAAGCATAGTAATTCATCCCCCATATAGTAATTCATCCCCCATAGTAATTCATCCCCCCTATAGTAATTCATCCCCCATATAGTAATTCATCCCCCCTATAGTAATTCATCCCCCCTATAGTAATTCATCCCCCCTATAGTAATTCATCCCGCCTATAGTAATTCATCCCCCCTATAGTAATTCATCCCCCATAGTAATTCATCCCCCCTATAGTAATTCATCCCCCCTATAGTAATTCATCCCCCCTATAGTAATTCATCCCCCATATAGTAATTCATCCCCCATATAGTAATTCATCCCCCATATAGTAATTCATCCCCCATATAGTAATTCATCCCCCATATAGTAATTCATCCCCCATATAAAGTCCCCAAGTCCCCCCTGTGTCAATTCACTTACCTTTGCTCCGCGCGTTCCTCTCGCCGTGTTCCCGCGCCGTTCCGGCGTAGCATGAAAATCTGTCTCCTATGAGGATCTGTCCCCCTCGACGTATCTGCGCATGTGCCAGTTTCAGGCATTAGCAGCCGATCGGCGATCTCCGGCACATGCGCAGATACGTCGAGGGGGACAGATCCTCATAGGAGACAGATTTTCATGCTACACCGGTCTTCAGGGCGGACTGTGAGAGGAGCCTAGCGGGAGCCTAGCTCCGCGGGCCGGATTAAAAGGTCCGCCGGGCCGTAGTTTGCCCATTGCTGTACTATAGCCTATGCAAGGGCCATATTTCCCTTTGCAGGCATCCATGCCAATTGGGATGCAGCGGGAGCACAGACACAGCCCATGCTCCAGATTTGCCGTCCATGCAGTTGCACAGCCCTGAACGTACATGGTCTGCCTTTGGGGCTATGCATACACACACAGCAAGTGTCTGTGACCCCCAAGGTAGAACTGGGCTTTAAAACAGCTTTGTTGCAAGATTTTGCCCTGGGACTATCTAACGTTTCCATCAATACTACCTTAATTGATGCAAACTATAAAACGTTGTTAAGATGGTACTTGGTCCCTACTCGGATTGTGAGGATGCATCCATCTGTTTCGGCGATGTGGCCAGGTGGGTTCTATGTATCACATCTGGTGGCAATGTCTGATAGCAACAAGATTTTGGATTTGCATGTTTAATTTAATCAATATGGTGAAGGGGGGGGGGGGGGGGGGATGCCTGCAGATCCCCGGAGACAGCCCTCTTTCATAAATTCCCAGATAACGTTCCCAGAAAATCCCATAAATTGATCACCTACACGTTGTTAGACGCGAGAATCACTATAGCTAGACATTTGAAGCAAATCGGTTATCCCGCTTGACTATGTTAAGAATAAACCCTCTCAGCGGCTGTGAATCTTCAAATATTATTCAAAATTCATATTTCCACTTGATCCACCTCCAAAAATGTCACTCTTAAATATCCCCGTGTACCCCAAAAAAAAAAAAAAAAAAAAACTACATATAGTGCATTATCCTTATTGCATAAACGTCAAAATAAAACTCAAAAACAAAATCTCAGTGTATATTGTGTTCAGGATCTGCATAAATCACTCAGTGTCCACTTCTATGTGGCTGAATTAATACTCTTACCCTAAAAATACTTGTACATAACTTTAAATCTCATTCCACATTAGAATCTGCTAAAAAACTGATCCTTTGAATGCATCTTCATAAAGAATACCTCCGGAGAAAACATATGACAGTGTAGGATCCTTTAAACATGAGCACATAGGGGCGCACATTTCACATGTTTAACCACTTCAAGACCGGACACTTTTACCCCCTTCCTGTCCAGGGCAATTTTCAGCTTTCAGCGCTATCACGCTTTGAATGACAATTACGCGGTCATGCAACACTGTACCCAAATGAATTTTTTACCATTCTTTTGAAACAGATAAGGCTTTATTTTGGTGGTATTTATTCACTGCTGGGATTTTTATTTTTTTTGCTATGTAAATGAAAAAGTCCAAAAATTTTGAAAAAAAGTGTTTTTTTTATAAAATTTTGCAAACAAATAATATTTCATCATAAATCTTTGCCAAAATGTATTCCGTTATCTTTTTAGTAAAAAAAAAAATCCAAATTAGTTTATAACAAAAATTATAATTTTTAAACATTTTTATTTTATTTTTTTTTTTATTATTATTTTATTTTTTTTTTTTTTTTACATACTGTCACCCTAGCAGTACAGTGTCACCATGGTGACACTGTACTACTTGTGGGGGGTGATGAAGATTTTTTTTTTTTTTTTTACACATTGCTTTTACACCCATATAGGATGTAAAAGCAATCATTTCTCTTTCTCTCTGTCTGCATTCATGCACTCATTGAGAAGTACTGACTGAGCTGTGATTGGTCACAGCTTGTCACATGGTACAAGGCTGTTGTGAATAGCCCTGTACCATGTGACCTCTGTGATCATTCACAGATTTCACACGTAGTAAGCAATGATGTCACAAGTGACATCTTGCTTACTACTTTGCATGTGATCACTGATTGGCCAATCAGTGATCACATGATCTGGACCTCGTACAGAAGTCCCGTCCGACGATCGGTGTTTCACTGTGTCCGGAGGAAAGTGGGGTCGGGAAGTGGTTAAAGGATCCTACACTATCTAGTGTCAGACTTCCTCTGTAAGGCTGGCCATACATTATACAATTATCTTCCAATTTTCTGCCCAATTTCCTTTAGATTTACCTTCAACTGTGTAGTGCAAGGGCCCGCCTAATTGGATACAACCGAAAGTGTTGCTTTAGGTTTGTCCTCCTATTATATGGTTTTTGGTAAATATAAACCAAAAATCTCCAGATAATTGTATAATGTATGGCCAGCCTTACTCTTAACTGGTCACCTGTAAAGACGTTTAAAGCGTTGCCTATGGAGAATTTTAAGTACCGTAGTTGGGCGCCATTCCACGGGCATAAGTAGTTTTAAAGCGTGATATGTTAGGTATCTATTTACTCGGTGTAACATCATCATTTTTTTCCAAAATATTGGATATTATATACAGTTTCTGTGCAATAACATTCATGCAAGAGCATTTTTTCCCCAAAAAATTGTAATATATAATGTTTGAGGGTTCTGAGTAATTTTCTAGCAAAAAAAAAAATGTAGCTTTTCACATGTATGTGAGAAGTGTCAGGAGTGGCCCAGTAGGGAAGTGGTTAAAAATGGTAAATAGCTGACAGGTTCACTTTAGTTTTCACAGCACTATGCCCTTGATTATGGAAAATGCGATTTTCCTTGCTTTACCCACCCTTCTTCTGTCTCGTTGATGATGTCACAGATCTCCATGTTTAGCGTCCAGTCCTCGCTCTGAAGGGAGCCATCTGTGGCTTTCTCTGTGGAAGACATGAAAGGAGATAGAAGTTACATTTAAACATCATAAGCTGATCTACTGGTGCAGAAGAAGGCAGCAGATGGCTCCATTGTGTAGTAGGAACTCCACACCTCTGAAGCGACTTACCTCCAGACTCTCACTCTTCATGTTGGCAGGGCATCTTTCCAAGACTGCCCTTCACCAACATTCTAATCCAGCGCCTCCACAGCCATCACACAAAAAAATGAGGAGGTGGACCTTTGGAAGCAAGCTAAGGTGATGCTGTCCTGTGTCACTAGTTAGGTGACAAAAGTCAGACAACAAAAAGGAAGGAAGGCGGAGCTGGGAACACCATCGCAGAAGTCTCACTGCCAGACTTCTCTGCAGATATAGAAGCTGCTGTGCTGGCATCTACAGCCGGTACTTACCTCTTGTCACAGTGATGTCACCAGAGAATCAATAAGCTACAACAGGGTCTCTATACTACGGTCCGCGGGCCAAATCAGGCCTGCTGCAAGATTTTGTCTGGCCTTCTGATGTAAGAGGGGCTCTGCTGTAACGCAGGACTCTGAGAGGGACTTTTATGTAAGAAGGGGACTCCTATATAAAGGGGACTTTGATGAGGACTCTAATGTAAGGGAGGACTCTGATAGCGACTTAGATGTAAGAAGGGGACCCTTATAAATGGGACTTTGATGGAGACTCTGATGTAAGTGGGCTTTAAGGAGGACTGTGATGTAAAGGGGACTCTGATTTAAAAGGGGGACTTTAATGTAAGGAGCCTCTAAGGGGGGCTCTGATGTAAAGGGAGATTCTAATGTAAGGGGGACTCTTATGTATAGGGGAAATCTGATGTAAGGGGGACTCTGATAGGGACTATGATGTAAAAAGAGAACTCTTAAATAAAGGGGACTTTGATGGGGATTCTGATGTAAGCAGGCTCTAAGGAGGACTCTGATATAAAGGGGAAATCTGATGTAAGGGGGACTCTACTGTACATAGGTATCCCCATCATACAACAAAGGGGGATTCTGATGTAAGGGGGCCCTGAAGGAGACCACGGTGTAAGGGGGTCTCTGACGGAGACCACGGTGTAAGGGGGTCTCTGACGGAGACCACGGTGTAAGGGGGTCTCTGACGGAGACCACGGTGTAAGGGGGTCTCTGACGGAGACCACGGTGTAAGGGGGTCTCTGACGGAGACCACGGTGTAAGGGGGTCCTGATGGGCTCACAATTATTTTGATTCCTTTTCTGTTTTGTTTTATTAAAGTTTTTCTATTTTGCTCTAAATCATAAAAGTTAAGTAAAACGTATTCATTTAAATTTGATTTGCTCATTTAGGGCTCATTCACATAAGAGATTGGGGGGGGGGGGGGGGGGGAGTGAAACCCTGCCCTGCAGATGAGCCATGCTCTTACAGCCTTCCAACTGCTACCCCTTTAGATACAGAGCCAGGAGTGCAGCCATGCCACTGCTGTGATGGTTTGAATGGTACCCCGTGTCGCATGACACCTGTGAACATGGCCCATTAAAGTGAACGGGGCAATTCCGCAAGTACCCCTCAACGGCGTATGTGGTTGCGGCACACTAGTCCGGGATTCAAGGAGTTAACTGCCTTTCAAACACTCTCTGAAGAGCAATCCGAAAACGGATCACTCGTCAGAGACCAACACCAGTGTGAACGAGCCCTTTCAAAACAGATTTTTTTTTTCTGGCTTGCAAATGTAAAACATACAATGTGGCCCTCGTACTGAAAAGTCTGGAGACCCCTGAGCTGTACATAGTTTACAAACAAAACTATAAATAATAAACCTTTCTAGTGTCAGTGAAAATATATGTAAAAAAAAAGTCCAAAAATTTCAAACAATTGAGGTGATTGTAGCCATATTAATGCATTTGCAACAGAAACAATTCATTACTGTCCGTGATACTTTTTTTTATTTGCACCAACATACAATTTTGAGGTCTAGCTTTCGGGGAACGTCCCCTTCTTCAGGGTCCGAGCAGTACTATTACAATGTTTTAGCAGAATGTTAGAAGTTGGAGATGAGAGAGAAAAAAACAAAAAAAAAAAAAAAAAACCCAAAAAAAGCAGAAAGAAACACAAGCCTAGGGTTAAACTAGAGATAAGATACAGCAAAGCAAAAGCAAAAACTGGGGGGGGGGGGGGGGGGGGGGGGGGGGGGGGGGGCGGGGGGGGGGGGGGGGGGGGGGAGGGGGGGGGGGGGGGGGGGGGGGGGGTGGGGGGGGAGAAACAACAATGACAGAGAGAGTCATAAAATTGTCGAATAATGATTGAGGAATCCCATGTCCAAATTAAGGCCCTTATCTCGTGTCAAATAGAATTTAAATTCATGTTTGAAATTTTTGGACTTTTTTTTTTATATATTAAAAATATATATTTTTTATATATTAATTTCATTTTTGGACTTTTTTTTATATATATAAAAATATATATTAAATTAATTTTTGGACTTTTTTTTTATATTAAAAATATATATTTTTTATATATTAAATAAATTTTTGGACTTTTTTTTATATATTAAAAATATATATTAAATAAATTTTTGGACTTTTTTTATATATTAAAAATATATATTTTTTATATATTAAATTCATTTTTGGACTTTTTTTTATATATTAAAAATATATATTAAATAAATTTTTGGACTTTTTTTTTATATATTAAAAATATATATTTTTTATATATTAAATAAATTTTTGGACTTTTTTTTTATATATTAAAAATATATATTAAATTAATTTTTGGACTTTTTTTATATATTAAAAATATATATTTTTTTATATATTAAATTCATTTTTGGACTTTTTTTATATATTAAAAATATATATTAAATTAATTTTTGGACTTTTTTTTATATATTAAAAATATATATTTTTTATATATTAAATACATTTTTGGACTTTTTTTTATATATTAAAAATATATATTTTGTATATATTAAATTAATTTTTGGACTTTTTTTATATATTAAAAAATATATATTAAATAAATTTTTGGACTTTTTTTATATGTTAAAAATATATATTTTTTATATATTAAAATATATAAATATTTTCACTGACACTAGAAAGGTTTATTATTTATGATTTTTGGACTTTCAAGGGTGAAAGTAGGACTTTTTAAGTGTCAATAGATAGGGTAATATATCACAATTTATTATAGATATCATTTTGGATACAGAACTTTATATCACAGATTGCAAAGAAAACTGCTTTAACTGTGTAAATGCCATGAAAACTCAACCGATCGGGTACAAGAAAATGAAAATCCTTCAACTCTTCCGGTCAGACTGTAGGATTGTTTTATTGAATTAGAGAGGTCAGGCTCAGCTCAGCAGAAACCACCGCGACACCGCAGAACAAATGACATGGAATGAGAACGGCGAGCTCCAATCTTCCCGGAAATCCTGATGGTGTCAGCAAAGAGTGACGGGACCTTAAAGAGCCGGATGGCTGGCTGGCACTTTCCTGACTGCAAAGACAAATGAGCGCCGATGATCCGAAGATCGAGTCATCAGTATCGCTCAATCTAATCCAGCCTACGTTGTCAAGACTTGACCGAAAGCGGCTCTGCCTGGTAAAAGGCCAAGCTGCTGCGGCACCTCCTGCAAAAGTGCAGCTGTCAATCATAAAACAGAGGGATTTTTTTTTCTTTTAGCCAGAAAAGGACAGATGGATGCGGAGAGATGTGCAGCAGAGAGCAAGTCTCCTGAAATGACCTCAGTCTAGGAGAAATCCCAGGAGGTATCACCAATCCACTGTGAGATGAGGTAGAGGGGGCTTTTTAGTGCAGAGCATGTAGGCAAAGGCCACACCCCTGACACACCCCCGAGGTACAGGGACCACAAATAATTAAAACACGCAAAATAATGACTGGTTACAGTGGATCTGAACCAATGTTGAATTACATCTAGTTTGCTAAAGAACTAATGCCGGCCATACATGGGTCGAAATTCGACCGTTTTTTTTTGTCCGAAAAAATCGGGCCTAAGAATAATCGGCGCCGATTTTCACTCTGTTATTGGGGTCAATGGCATCGGACGATTTTCACTCTGTTATTGGGGTCAATGGCAACGGCCGATTTTCGTGGTTCCTCCCCTTTTCGGTGATCGGGCATGTTGGAAAATGTGTGAAAAACGACCGATTTTTCGACTCAACGATGGTCAAATCGTACGATGGTTTTTCCGAAAAGAATATGTGCATGAGCCGTGACCTGTAAAGAACAGAAGTTTCGCCTGTTATATGGGGTGAACTTTATGACTTGGTCGGCCGATTTTCTGAATTATTGATGGCACCATCGGATTACCGAGCGAACAACGTTTTCGATTTTTGGACGGAATTTGACCCATGTATGGCCTGCATTAGTATCATAAACAATTACCATATTTTTCCTTAACCAACTCAATACCGGACACTTTCACCCCCTTCCTGCCCAGGACAAGTTTCAGCTTTCAGCACGGTCACAATTTGAATGGCAATTGTGCGGTCATGCAACACTGTACCCAAATGAACTTTTTATCATTTTTTTCCAAACAAATAGAGCTTTCTTTTAGTGGTATTTGATTACCATCAGGTTTTTAAATTTTGGCTAAATAAACAATAGACAGAAAATTTTGAAAAAAAATATATATGCTGCATTGATGGACACTAATGAATCTGCATTGATGGGCACTGGTAAGGCTGCACTGATGGGCACTGCTGAGGCTGCACTGATGGGCACTGCTGAGGCTGCACTGATGGGCACTGCTGAGGCTGCACCGATAAGCTGCACCTATGATCAGTGTAAACAATGTAATGTCAGACTGGGGCGGGGTTTTTTGGCTCCTGTATCACATGTGGTGTGGACTGGATTTGGCCCCTGGACCTTGTGTCTGACACATGTGGTGTGGACTGGATTTGGCCACTGGACCTTGTGTCTGACACATGTGGTGTGGACTGGATTTGGCCCCTGGACCTTGTGTCTGACACATGTGGTGTGGACTGGATTTGGCCCCTGGACCTTGTGCCTGACACATGTGGTGTGGACTGGATTTAGCCCCTGGACCTTGTGCCTGACACATGTGGTGTGGATTGGATTTGGCCCCTGGATCTTGTGCCTGACACATGTGGTGTGGACTGGATTTGGCCCCTGAACCTTGTGCCTGACACATGTGGTGTGGACTGGATTTGGCCCCTGAACCTTGTGCCTGACACATGTGGTGTGGACTGGATTTGGCCCCTGGACCTTGTGTCTGACACATGTGGTGTGGACTGGATTTGGCCCCTGGACCTTGTGTCTGACACATGTGGTGTGGACTGGATTTGGCCCCTGGACCTTGTGCCTGACACATGTGGTGTGGATTGGATTTGGCCCCTGGACCTTGTGCCTGACACATGTGGTGTGGATTGGATTTGGCCCCTGGACCTTGTGCCTGACACATGTGGTGTGGATTGGATTTGGCCCCTGGACCTTGTGCCTGACACATGTGGTGTGGACTGGATTTGGCCCCTGGACCTTGTGCCTGACACATGTGGTGTGGACTGGATTTGGCCCCTGAACCTTGTGCCTGACACATGTGATGTGGACTGGATTTGGCCCCTGGACCTTGTGTCTGACACATGTGGTGTGGACTGGATTTAGCCCCTGGACCTTGTGCCTGACACATGTGGTGTGGATTGGATTTGGCCCCTGGACCTTGTGCCTGACACATGTGATGTGGACTGGATTTGGCCCCTGGACCTTGTGCCTGACACATGTGGTGTGGACTGGATTTGGCCCCTGAACCTTGTGCCTGACACATGTGGTGTGGACTGGATTTGGCCCCTGGACCTTGTGCCTGACACATGTGGTGTGGACTGGATTTGGCCCCTGAACCTTGTGCCTGACACTTGTGGTGTGGACTGGATTTGGCCCCTGGACCTTGTGCCTGACACATGTGATGTGGACTGGATTTGGCCCCTGGACCTTGTGTCTGACACATGTGGTGTGGACTGGATTTGGCCCCTGGACCTTGTGTCTGACACATGTGGTGTGGACTGGATTTGGCCCCTGGACCTTGGGTCTGACACATGTGGTGTGGACTGGATTTAGCCCCTGGACCTTGTGCCTGACACATGTGGTGTGGATTGGATTTGGCCCCTGGATCTTGTGCCTGACACATGTGGTGTGGACTGGATTTGGCCCCTGAACCTTGTGCCTGACACATGTGGTGTGGACTGGATTTGGCCCCTGAACCTTGTGCCTGACACATGTGGTGTGGACTGGATTTGGCCCCTGGACCTTGTGTCTGACACATGTGGTGTGGACTGGATTTGGCCCCTGGACCTTGTGTCTGACACATGTGGTGTGGACTGGATTTGGCCCCTGGACCTTGTGTCTGACACATGTGATGTGGACTGGATTTGGCCCCTGGACCTTGTGTCTGACACATGTGGTGTGGACTGGATTTAGCCCCTGGACCTTGTGCCTGACACATGTGGTGTGGATTGGATTTGGCCCCTGGACCTTGTGCCTGACACATGTGATGTGGACTGGATTTGGCCCCTGGACCTTGTGCCTGACACATGTGGTGTGGACTGGATTTGGCCCCTGAACCTTGTGCCTGACACATGTGGTGTGGACTGGATTTGGCCCCTGGACCTTGTGCCTGACACATGTGGTGTGGACTGGATTTGGCCCCTGAACCTTGTGTCTGACACTTGTGGTGTGGACTGGATTTGGCCCCTGGACCTTGTGCCTGACACATGTGGTGTGGACTGGATTTGGCCCCTGGACCTTGTGCCTGACACATGTGGTGTGGACTGGATTTGGCCCCTGGACCTTGTGCCTGACACATGTGATGTGGACTGGATTTGGCCCCTGGACCTTGTGCCTGACACATGTGGTGTGGACTGGATTTGGCCCCTGAACCTTGTGCCTGACACATGTGGTGTGGACTGGATTTGGCCCCTGGACCTTGTGCCTGACACATGTGGTGTGGACTGGATTTGGCCCCTGGACCTTGTGCCTGACACATGTGGTGTGGACTGGATTTGGCCCCTGGACCTTGTGCCTGACACATGTGGTGTGGACTGGATTTGGCCCCTGTGTCTGACACATGTGGTGTGGAGCCCAGCAAGGCAGGTGTATCTCCTTAGTGCGTTGAGATGCCATTGACAATGAACGGCACCACAACGCAGTAGCGCATATTAAACATGTTACGTTGAAAATGAAATATAAATGGCCCCTCAATGAAAGCTGCTGAATAAAAACATCTTTTCCATGAACCTGCTAATGAGATTAAAAGGGATTTGAATAAGATCTACCTCAAATGAAATCTGTCACAAACCTGAGCATATGATCCAGCTCCAGTCATAGAAAAATAATCCCAAAAACCCGACAGCAGTAAAGCTGCCACAAATCTTTATAAGATGAAAAAAAAAAATGTATAAACAAAAATGACCTTCAATGAAAAGCATGTCAATGTGGTCAGCAGACCCTGACAGAGGTAGCTGGAGGTGAATCCAAACCCCAACATTTCATGTAAAAGCTGAGCCCCACTATAGATGGACGATTGCCATGGCTGGCCGGTCTAACCGGAAATACTAGCTGCCTGGCTACCATGCTGATTCATGATCTCCTCTGGCAAGGCACTGAACCAAAACAGGCAAACATTTCTGCACTCCCTCGCAAAACCACAAAATTGATGGGTTTCACCTTTTCAGACAGGCACCTGCACTTATTTTAGCATTTTTTGCCTAGACCAGCTTTCCTCCGCCAGGGGGCCCAGGCACCCTGGGGTGCCTTGAGGTTGCTTCAGGGGGTGCCTTCAAAATAAAAAAAGTCTAAAAAGTTCCCAAAATTTGTATTCAAGCCAGCGGGTGGAACACGCCCGCCTTTTAGTTACACAAAGTCACAGGTTTTCATTGTACGCCATTACAACCTTCTAGCCGCCGGCGTCCTGACAACCAATGACATCAGCTGATAAGGAGGATGTTGGTTGCCTGCACAGCATCCTTGTTTGACCCTCCCCCTCTCTCCATCAGTGCTGGGGTCACATTAGCTCAGGGATGGAGAAAAACTGAAGGAGAAGGGAAACATGGGCATACTAGTCAGTACCAGTGTGCAGAAGTGTATTTGCTTTGGAAGAATAAATCACCTCTAATGTTGGGTGTCCTACATGTGTGGATGTTGCTGCGTTATATAAAACTATTAGAATAGTTTCACATTTTAGAACGGGGTGCCTCGGGACTGTCCACAATTTTAAAGGGCGCCTCGGGACTGTCCACAATTTTAAAGGGCGCCTCGGGACTGTCCACAATTTTAAAGGGCGCCTCGGGACTGTCCACAATTTTAAAGGGCGCCTCGGGACTGTCCACAATTTTAAAGGGCGCCTCGGGACTGTCCACAATTTTAAAGGGCGCCTCGGGACTGTCCACAATTTTAAAGGGCGCCTCGGGACTGTCCACAATTTTAAAGGGCGCCTCGGGACTGTCCACAATTTTAAAGGGCGCCTCGGGACTGTCCACAATTTTAAAGGGCGCCTCGGGACTGTCCACAATTTTAAAGGGCGCCCCGGGACTGTCCACAATTTTAAAGGGCGCCCCGGGACTGTCCACAATTTTAAAGGGCGCCCCGGGACTGTCCACAATTTTAAAGGGCGCCCCGGGACTGTTCAGAATTTTAAAGGGCGCCCGGGGACTGTTCAGAATTTTAAAGGGCGCCCCGGGACTGTCCAGAATTTTAAAGGGCGCCCCGGGACTGTCCAGAATTTTAAAGGGCGCCCCGAGACTGTCCAGAATTTTAAAGGGCGCCCCGAGACTGTCCAGAATTTTAAAGGGCGCCCCGAGACTGTCCAGAATTTTAAAGGGCGCCACGGGACTGTCCAGAATTTTAAAGGGCGCCTCGGGACTGTCCAGAATTTTAAAGGGCGCCTCGGGACTGTCCAGAATTTTAAAGGGCGCCTCGGGACTGTCCAGAATTTTAAAGGGCGCCTCGGGACTGTCCAGAATTTTAAAGGGTGCCCCAGGACTGTCCAGAATTTTAAAGGGTGCCCCGGGACTGTCCAGAATTTTAAAGGGTGCCCTGGGACTGTCCATCATTTTAAAGGGTGCCCCGGGACTGTCCATCATTTTAAAGGGTGCCTCGGGACTGTTCATAATTTCAAAGGGTGACTTGACTGAAAAAAGGTTGAGGAACACTGACCTAGACAATAATTACATCAGCTTGGCCTACCTGCTACCTCCTGGGACATATCACAGGCCCCAGGAGGCTGCGGGACCACATGATCTCATGCATGTGCATTGGTGGGCCAGCTGTGAGACATCAGGAAGTTCCAGCTGCATCCATGATGGCAGCACCAGGGATCCAAAGCATGGTGAAGGATCGGTTCCAGCGAAAACAGTGCTGGACTCCTAGACTGGCAAGTGTCTGCTAAAAGTCAGCAGCTACATGTGTAGCTGCTGACTTTCAATTTTTTTTAAATACAGGACCAAAGTTCCTCTTTAAAAAGTGGTAATAAACACAAAATGTAATAATGCAGCTTACCAATCATTAGATGTGGTGGCTGCATTTGTTTTCTTTTCTTCGGCTTTTCCCCCTCAGTTTTTACATGGTGATCTGGCCAGTAACACACCTCCTGTATTAGAGTGCCCCTACTCTGGATGAGGGAGCACATTTAGACAGCAGCATTGTCAGTCTTGGGGAGGGGAGTATTAGATATACTAGCAGATTTAAATACACTAACAAACTGAAGCCAAATGCCAGTTCACACAGGATATGTGCAGCTCACAGTACATTTGCATGGTGACAAGTGAGAACAACGCCCTTACATTGGAGATCAGTGGGAAGAATGTCCCTTACATTGGTGATCAGCGGGAAGAATGTCCCTTACATTGGTGATCAGTGGGAAGAATGTCCCTTACATTGGTGATCAGTGGGAAGAATGTCCCTTACATTGGTGATCAGTGGGAAGAATGTCCCTTACATTGGGGGTCAGTGGGAAGAATGTCCCTTACATTGGGGGTCAGTGGGAAGAATGTCCCTTACATTGGGGGATCAGTGGGAAGAATGCCCCTTACATTGGTGATCAGTGGGAAGAATGTCCCTTACATTGGGGGATCAGTGGGAAGAACGTCCCTTACATTGGTGGTCAGTGGGAAGAACGTCCCTTACATTGGGGGTCAGTGGGAAGAACGCCCCTTACATTGGGGGTCAGTGGGAAGAACGCCCCTTACATTGGGGGTCAGTGGGAAGAACGCCCCTTACATTGGGGGTCAGTGGGAAGAACGCCCCTTACATTGGGGGTCAGTGGGAAGAACGCCCCTTACATTGGGGGTCAGTGGGAAGAACGCCCCTTACATTGGGGGTCAGTGGGAAGAACGCCCCTTACATTGGGGGTCAGTGGGAAGAACGTCCCTTACATTTGTGGTCAGTGGGAAGAACGTCCCTTACATTGGTGATCAGTGGGAAGAACGCCCCTTACATTGGGGGTCAGTGGGAAGAATGTTCCTTACATTGGTGGTCCGTGGGAAGAACGTCCCTTACACATTGGTGGTCCGTGGGAAGAACGTCCCTTACATTGGTGGTCCGTGGGAAGAACGTCCCTTACATTGGGGGTCAGTGGGAAGAACGTCCCTTACATTGGGGGTCAGTGGGAAGAACGTCCCTTACATTGGTGGTCAGTGGGAAGAATGTCCCTTACATTGGTGGTCAGTGGGAAGAATGTCCCTTACATTGGTGGTCAGTGGGAAGAATGTCCCTTACATTGGTGGTCAGTGGGAAGAATGTCCCTTACATTGGTGATCAGTGGGAAGAATGTCCCTTACATTGGGGGTCAGTGGGAAGAATGTTCCTTACATTGGTGGTCCGTGGGAAGAACGTCCCTTACATTGGTGGTCAGTGGGAAGAACGTCCCTTACATTGGTGGTCAGTGGGAAGAACGTCCCTTACATTGGTGGTCAGTGGGAAGAACGTCCCTTACATTGGTGGTCAGTGGGAAGAACGTCCCTTACATTGGTGGTCAGTGGGAAGAACGTCCCTTACATTGGTGGTGGTCAGTGGGAAGAATGTCCCTTACATTGGGGGTCAGTGGGAAGAATGTCCCTTACATTGGGGGTCAGTGGGAAGAATGTCCCTTACATTGGGGGGTCAGTGGGAAGAACGTCCCTTACATTGGTGGTCAGTGGGAAGAATGGCCCTTACATTGGTCAGTAAGAACAATGCCCTTACATTGTAGGGGTCAGTGGAGTATTAAATATACTAGCAGATTTAAATACAAATGAGTAGCGCTGCGCTTCACGAATGGTCCTGTAGTCTTCTGGGACCTGTCACGTGTCCTACAAGACTTTGGGGAGGGAGAATAGGAGGACGACTTCCATTTCTGATTGCCTAGGCGATCGCAGTGGAAGTGGGAGTGGGTACCTGTCAAATTCCGGTACCCGTCCCCCCTTCCCCCCAAAGGTGCCAATCCTTAATGGGGATTGGGGAACTAATCTTTAAAGCAGAACTTCCCCTTTTGGGTGGAACTCCGCTTTAAATTCTAATCTTTCCTAATCTCTGAACCAGGGGCGGACTGACAACTCATGGGGCCCCCGGGCAATAGGGGATCATGGGGCCCCTGTGTCCTTGCCCAAACTCAAAAAAGCCTATGAAAAAGGTACCAGGGGCATCTCATGGGGCCCCGTACAGACCCCGGGCCTCGGGCAGTGCCCAAGTTTCTAAATGGTCAGTCCGCCCCTGCTCTGAACAATGACAAAACAGAGTTGGGCAATTCCATTTCATTAGATGAATTCATTACATGAATTCTGTGTCCTTAAATCACGATTCTCCCAGCCTCAGACACGCAGCCATAGGTTCAGCACTCCAATCCTCAGATCCGTCTGGAGCCTAGAATTCCCAGCAGCACCCAGATTATTGCAGCCGACAGCCGCTCTGCAGTGACAATATATCTACAGAGTACAGACGCAGCGCACTGCGCAGTGCTGCCAATAGACCTTTGCTGCACTTTAATCACCCGCAGCACGCCACGCTGCCTCATTTAGAAATACCTGCAGCGTAATTAACCCCTCGGCTTCCCACTATACAGCCTTATGCCAAGATAGCAGAAACAATGCGTCAGCCAATGCACGGTTGAGGGATGACGGCTCGGTATGCTTTACGAGGACATAATGCAGACAGGCGAAGACCTACTGGGGTGGATTAAGGCCACTTTCACACTAATCCACAGCAAATACGAATATGCGGTTTTTGCTGTGTTTTTACCGCGCGTTTTTTACAGGACATGTGACTCAAAAACCAAACAGATAATGCAATGCGGGTGCGTTTCTGATGCGTTTTCCATTGATTTCAATGAAGAGGTGACTTTTTTGGTGCAGTTTTTCAATCACACCAAAAAATGTAGCAAACAGGATTTATCAAAAAAAAAAAAAAGGACTCGGCCCACAACAAATCAGTTTGAAGAGTACCATAGGATTACACGGTCACATGTTTTTTCTTCTGCTTTTTTTTTTTTTTGCTCAAACACAAAAGCAGAAGGAAACCGGATCATTGTGAAAGCTGCCTTACTAAGACTGGAGCACACAGAATCTGGTGCAGCTCTGCATAGAAACCAATCAGCTGCCAGGTGTTATGGTCAAAGCTTCATTGAACAAGCTGAAGTTAGAAGCGGATTGGTTACTATGCAAAGCTGCACCAGATTCTGAGTGCAAACATTTTAGTAAATCTCTCCCGATTGTCTGTAGATCCAAACATCACACTGTTATAATGTCTAGAAACCTGGACCCATATATCTGTCTCTTGAACAGGTCTCAACGTGACACTGTGGTAGATGTAAATCCAGTCACTAAATTGTCAGTTCAGGGCATTCTAAAAGTTATTTTCAGAGGTGCAAAGCAAAAAAATAATAATAATAATAATAATATATATATATATATAAAATAGAAAAAAAAAAATATAACATAACAAAAAAAAAAAAAATTATATATATATATATATATACACACACACACACAAATATTTTTTTTTTTATGTTATATTTGATTTTTTCTAATATATATATATATATATTTATTAGGACACTGTTCAAGTATTCTGGATGTCCAGTGTGCCCTTTAACATGGTCAGTTCGGTTTCGTTGCAGACTAGCTGGTATGTATACTGGGAAATGTTTTGTTGTTTGCAATGTCCAAGTATTCTGATGCTGCTGGCTGTTACAATACAGTAGCCAGCAGGGGAGATTCCTCCATCTACATTGTTTAGCACAGACGAAAGAATCAGTAGATTTCTCTTGTTCAGTCCGTGGGCTGAATAAAAAAAAAAATCTAAGTGTTTATTCGGCATAAAGGGGCATTCTTCCCACTGACCACCAATGTAAGGAGCATTCTTCCTACTGACCACCAATGTAAGGGGCATTCTTCCCACTGACCACCAATGTAAGGGGCATTCTTCCCACTGACCACCAATGTAAGGGGCATTCTTCCCACTGACCACCAATGTAAGGGGCATTCTTCCCACTGACCACCAATGTAAGGGGCATTCTTCCCAATGACCACCAATGAAAGGGGCATTCTTCCCAATGACCACCAATGAAAGGGGCATTCTTCCCAATGACCACCAATGAAAGGGGCATTCTTCCCACGGACCACCAATGTAAGGGGCATTTTTCCCACGGACCACCAATGTAAGGGGCATTCTTCCCACTGACCACCAATGTAAGGAGCATTCTTCCGACTGACCACAAATGTAAGGGGCATGCTTTCCAATGACCACCAATGTAAGGGCCATTCTTCCCACTGACCACCAATGTAAGAAGCATTCTTCCCACTGAGCACCAATGTAAGGAGCATTCTTCCCACTGACCTCCAATGTAAGGGACATTCTTCCCACTGACCACCATTGTAAGGAGCATTCTTCCCACTGATCACCAATGTAAGGGACATTCTTCTCACTGACCACCAATGTAGGGAACATTCTACCCAATAACCACAAATGCAGGGAGCATTCTTCTCACTGACCTAGGGGGGCTCCTCTCACCTGACCACCATATTAATGGACACATCACTCACCACCAAATTGCATGGGCGTTACACTGACCACCAATGTAAGGAGCCATGTCTCCACTGACCACTAATGTGAGGAAGCACTACAATTTTCATAGCTTTCTTTTCTGGTAATTATTGTATTTTGATCTATTTTATTATTGCAAAAAATGTTGTATAGCTCAGCCCTAGGTGTCAAATATGCCCCATTTCAGAGCCCAAAAAAAGGGACAAATGGGAAGCAAAGGTGGACCAAGGGATTTGGTTCCAAACGAGGAACAGTTGGGATCTATTAATACAATGTTCTGCTTGAAGCGGTCTGTAAAAACACTTTGTTCTGTTACATTGTGCCTGCACTTCGGGAGTCCAAATAGGATTTTGTGAAGGAGAAGCAATCCCATGTACAGCTCCAGCGCCGGCTGTGAACCTCTACAAGGGAAGCAGGAATGAGGATCAGCATGGTGGTGCTTTTCCAGCACGCTCTCCTCTGCCTTCCACAATCTCATTTCCTGAGCCGGTCCCTGAGAGTGATATACAGTAATCCTGTTACTGATAATAGGATTCTCTACAACTCTTTAAACTGCATATAATCCAAAGGGATCAGAGCAGCAAAAAGGAGCTATTCCACTTATCCCCAACTCCTAGTAGACCAATACAAAAGTGCACTGTGCAGGGGGCCACCAGCCATCCCATAAGAAGCCTCGCTAACCAAATACCACGTCATGAAGGGGCTTATTTAAAGCTACATTCAAGTATGTGTACAGGATGTGAACTGTCTTGCCTGCCAACAGAATTTCAATGCTGTTCAACCAGTCTTATGATCCAGGTACCTCTGACAGGCACATAGCCAGGTGCGGAACGTCCACTGCAAAAGCAGCACAGCATGATGAAGGACCATCCCCAGCCTGCTGATGGAGGTCATCCCTGTGTCCTCAGCCCCACTTTAGCTAAAGATCGGTTAAAAGTGATATTATATGTAACAAAGGATGTCCCATATCGTGCAGTCTACTGGATTCTATATAAATCTTCTCTGCAAGGATGGCCCGTCCTCTTCCTGCCTCTGAACTTCTGGTGCTGAGGGGGTTAACAGCATTCAGGCTGAGCTGCAGTAAAGATGATCTGATGGGAGACCCGTCCCTCTCACACTCTCATCCATGGGGAAATGTTCTTTCATTGAATTCACTTCTTGTAACAGGATGATGTGAATGGGGGAGAATTTGAGCAGTCACATGATTCTCTCACCCATTCACAGATCATGTGAATAATAATTAAAATAATTTCTCTAAATGGGGGGGGGGGTCAGAAGGCAGTGGGACCCCAGCACATCATCTTTAGTGCACTTCATCCCCCAAACACTTGAAGTTGTTAACCCCCCTCCCAGGACTAAAATTTCAGTCAGGAAGAGGACAGGGCATCCCTGCAGTGAAGATTACTACAGAATCCAGCAGCCTGCATGACATGGAACATCCTTCATTACAGGTAAGTAATGTGACTGACCACCAATATAAAGGGCTCTCACCTCCTGACCACCAATATAAAGGGCTCTCACCTCCTGACCACCAATGTAAAAGGGCTCTCACTTCCTGACCACCAATGTAAAAGGGCTCTCACTTCCTGACCACCAATGTAAAGTGGCAGTCACTTCCTGACCACCAATGTAAAGTACTCTCACTTCCTGACCACCAATGTAAAGGGCTCTCACCTCCTAACCACCAATGTAAAGGGCTCTCATCTACTGACCACCAATGCAAAGGGCTCTCATCTACTGACCACCAATGTAAAGGGCTCTCATCTACTGACCACCAATGTAAAGGGCTCTCATCTACTGACCACCAATGTAAAGGGCTCTCATCTACTGACCACCAATGTAAAGGGCTCTCATCTACTGACCACTAATCTAAAGGGCTCTCATCTACTGACCACTAATCTAAAGGGCTCTCATCTACTGACCACTAATCTAAAGGGCTCTCACCTCCTGACCACCAACGTAAAGAGCTCTCACCTCCTG